CAGTATGTCAAGGCCAGTCTGAGAGTCAGAACCCAATAAATCAGAGCTTTGACTCTGAGGAATTTTGGTCTAGGGGTGCCTCATTTCCTAGAAGGGACACATGGCTAGTTTGACCAGCACAGCATCTCATATTCTAGGCCCTCTCCAAGATGGTGGGAGCTCTGTAAACTCTTGGGCTGCGAGATAGGAAGTGGCCACAGCTGAGGCCCAGATCCAAGAAGATAAGCAATCCAAGTGATCTTTCTCCACTGAGAAAGAGGAGCAGCTCCAAATAACCTTAGTTAATATTCAGACAACCTTAATACAAGAAGGCCACGTAAATTTAAATGGAATTGCATGAAGGAAAAAAATCCTTTGAAGGCTGTTATCATGCTTATCTCTTCATCTAAAAATGGTTAGGACTTAAAAGTATTTTTGTTTTGTTTTCCTTTAATACAGACTTCTCTCTCGCTGGGCTCTAGGCATCCTGTACCCTGGCAGAGCAAGGAAAAAATACTTCAAAGCAAAAAATCAAAATTCTGCCTTTCAAACACATCAAAGTGCAACTATGTTCCAGGATTCAGGATCCTTCATATTGGGTGGAAACTTTATTATTCCCTCACGTCAGACAGAAGCCAAGTGCTCCAGGCTGAGTGAATCTCCCCATTTCCACAGAACCCTGTGCTCTTGCCCATATCTTAAGATAAGAGTGGTAAACCTCTGCCATTTCTGCGCAAGGCCATCCATCTGAGATCCAAAATATAAGGCCAGGACATAGAAATAATCACAGTTCACATGAAATAATCCAGAGGAATTTTTTTTAAGTAAATGAAGGCTTCCAATGGATCACCAGCCTTGTAGTCAACCAAGATTAGGAGAGACTGGCATCCCACCCCCACCCCGAAGGTGCCTGGCGCTCCCCACTCCGAATGCTCAGGAAAATGTTTCGATCAATAAAAGCCAAATGCGGCCAATGGGCATGATAAATGGAAAGCCAGAAGACTTCTTTTACCCAAAGAAGCCCCGACACTTAGTCATACAGCTCCAGACCATTTCATTTGTACATGAGTGCATCTACTCTGACTTTCCCTTGTATTTTGCAGACATTGTGTTTGCAGGATGGATGAATTTAAGGCCGTAGACACCCACTTTTGACAGCTGACCTGTCAAGATCAGTGCCTGAAAAACTAATTTCCAGCACTATTAAACAAAACAAGACTGCTGCTTTTTGATAAGACAGCTACGGTTTTCATTCATTGCTGAGATCTGGTCTACCCAAACCAGAAATGGGGATAGGTATACTCCTGGGTAGTGGGAATTGCTGGGCTAAAGCATTGAAGAACACTCTGTTTCTAGGGGAAACGAGAACAGAACCTGGGCTGCTTGGGTCAATTCCTACTTAGGATGTTGCATTTTCAGCACGTCCTATAGTTATTCTTGAGAACTGTAAGTAAAAAAGTGGGGGCCAGGCACGGTGGCTCACACCTGCAATCTTAGTACTTTGGGAGGTTGAGGCAGGTGGATCACCTGAGGTCAGAAGTTTGAGACCCGCCAGGCCAACATGGCAAAACCCTGTCTCTACTAAAATACAAAAAATTAGCCAGGAGTGGTGGTGAGGACCTGTAATCCCAGCTACTCAGGGGGCTGAGGTAGGAGAATTGCTAGAACCCTGGGGGTGCAGGTTGCAATGAGCTAAGATCGTGCCACTGCACTCCAGCCTGGCTGACAGAGTGAGACTCCATCTCAAAAAAAAAAAATGGGGATAACTGCATTGTCCAAGCCACCCAGAGAACTGTCCTGCAAGCAGCATTAAGCTGGTTTCTGTTATATCCAAGGAGTGGCTCTTACTGGCTCTTGTGTCATGCAGAAGGATTTGGCAAGCCACAGTTATAGGCAAAAACCATGTCTCCAAGATGAACCAGATGGGTACCATGTTCATAGCAGCCAGGGACCCTGGAAACCAGGAATCTGTAGACATCTTATTGATGGCAGTGGTGGCCTGTCTGGAGTGGCTGCTGCCATGGCACTGGCTATAGCAAGGAGTTGCAGCCAGGGCTGTGCCCAGAGTGGGTGGGGCTCCTGCCTGCTCCATGGAGCAGGAGCCTCGGGTCCATAGCCAAGACTTGAGCAGCTGCAACTGCACCCAGAAAGCGCTCGCTCCACCAACTTTGTATAACAGAAGCTCCCACTCGTCCCCAGCTCCTGCTGGCTCCACAGAATGTGCAGTCCTGGGAAGGCGCTGCTGACACCCTCGCAGGCTTAAAAATGCCTGCTCCCACTGTCTGGCTTCTCCTTGCTATTGGCACTCCCTCCAATCTTGGGGCAAAGCCCAGCTAAGCCTGGGTGCTGTCACAGCCCAACTGTGTGTGCACATGCTTGGGGAAGTGCTGACATGCCAGCTCCCTGCTGCCTCAGGGCCCTCCAGACTTTGGGCCCTGATGAGCATAGGAGGGAAGCTGATAGGGGCCTGAGGGCAGCTTGGCACTGGCCTGCAGGCACCCCTTAGCCCCTAAAGCCTGGGCACCATGAAAGGCAGCAGGAGGAAGCAGGCAGATTACATGGTAGAAGGGGGTGGGTCCCCAGTGAGGCCCCATCTTCAGGCCAGGGAAGGCCTGAAGGCTGGTGGCCAGTCTGGCAGTCCCGTGGACCATAGTGGGAACTTGTGGTGCCTTTTCCAGCCCACCCATGGCCACCCATGGACCAGTCAGGGTGGCACTTCCTTCCCTCTGAGGCCATAAAAGCACCAGGTTCAGCCAGAGCTGAGCAGACATCATGACAACTAGGTACAGAGAGGAGCCACACAATCCAGGGCATCCTCTCTCTTGAGAGCTGAACACTCACTGTGATGACCAGCTTCAGAGAGGAGCTACCCACTCCAGGGCTTCCTCTGAGCTATTCTGTCACTCAGTTAAGCCCCTCTTCACCTTGCTTATCTTCTACTGGTCTGCATACTTCACTCTTAAAAAAAAACCAAAAAAACAAAACAAAAAAAACTCCCAAAACTTAAGCGAAATCTCAAAGAAAAGCTTTAAAAATAACATTTTATTTTTGATTATTTAAAATGTTTCAATCAATGTTCTGAGCCTAAATGTGTAGGTGAGTGCTTTCTCCATCTTTGCACATGTGAGGTGCTCCTGGACCATAGCCCCACAGTCCTCAAACACCATCACACCCTTAGAACAGAAAGGAAAGAGGAGTTTCACTAGCCAGCCCCTACAAGCCACTCCCTCCGGTCCTCCCCTGCCCTGATAAATTTGGGAGGCCTGATCCCAGAGGGCTGGATAATGAACTGGCAAAATCAACCCAGAAGAATCTTAATTGCAGACAAAGACAAACTTGGGTTTCAGCTCAGATAGACATCCCATGCCAGTGCTTTTGATGTTAGCTGCAGTTAAAGGGGCAGGAAAGGCCCCTACTCCATGACTGATGGTGTGGTCAGCTCAGCGCTCCCATCTCGGTGGGCTCCATCCCACCGTGACCGAATCAGGCTGATGGTGTCTCCTTATGCCAGGTGGAAGGAAATGCAATCAAATTCTGACATGTCCTGCAGCTCCTCCCAGGCCCTGAGCTACTGGTTAGGCCACTAGCAGGGCCGTGTATCAACCAATTAAACCCATTAATAACTGGCAGCACAGCACAGCCTCCTTCTCAACAAATTAAGATGCTGATCCCTGGACTCAGCC